AATATAGGTTTATTTATTAGTATATCTTAAGTAATACCCTGAATAGAGTGAACTGGAATCTGATATATATATATATATACATATGGGTCATATATTTTCAACATTATATATACATATAGATATTTCAAACATATAGTCAATTCTGTGAAATTTATAAGTTCTATATTAGTTCATTATGGTAAGTAATAACTCTTGGAAAATTTTTCCAAAGTATTCTGTTTGTTATAAAAAAGGTTAATATATTTCAGAATAAAATTTGAATTCGAATATATTTAATTTAGAAACTATAAAGTAAAATTAAAATTTTACTTTATTATAATCAATCACTTTTTTTAAAAAGGAATCTTCACGAAAATATTTACTTGCGTACTACAAAATATATATGCACATTCTATTTAAATAATACGATACCAAAGATAATGATTTCTAAATCTGTGTAATATTTTTATAATACACAATTATTTATCATCATCTACCTCTTTATCTACAATGTAAAATAACTTATCAATTTCAATAAAGCCAACACAATAATCAATAGCTGATGAATCAATAAATGCATATGACCCTAACCGACTAAATGTCTTCACACCAGTACTATCTTCTTTAACAGGCGATGTTCACTGAACATATGCCAACATTACTTTTGATTCTTCGAACTCATAAACTAAATAATATTTTACAATAGCATAAAAATCTTGAACTTCGAATACTGACAGTCATTTAGAATAGTTCGTATAAATATCTACTTCTATCTTTACCATAACAGTATAATTAATCGTGACCAGCTTTTATTATGGTGAATCCATTTTGACCCAATATAATGGCCATCTTTTGTTCTAAGCCGACCATATTTTGTTCTTGTTTGACTAAAAGACATAAGCTGCAACCCGGACACATCTGATATGGTAGAAAAATGTTCTTTAATTTTTTTTAATTCAGTTTGTGTTAATTTGTGTGGAGTTGAAGGAAAATAGAAATCCTGTCCGCCTTCTCCAGTGTAAGCTAAATGTTCATCATGAATTTTGGGCAAAATTGATGGGAAAATTTGGTCATATATTATTCGGTTAAATTTTAAACAATTAAAAATTTCATGTAAGTGAATGTTATTAGTAAGATTCTTGTACGGATGTAATTTCGATTTAGTTAGGGGGAGTAGCATTCCACACATCCTTTCAATTGAATATTGTCATGTCGCACAACAGGGTCCAGTTTGAAAGATACTTTCTGAAATATGTAACATATTATATATACATATTTTCATTGTGCTTAAACAATCTAACACTCCCTGGTAATATTCTTTTTCATAATTGGCATAAAATGCCAGAAAGCATGATTGAATTTTATTTAAATCATCATATGTTATTATTCTTTTTTAACATAATCGTACAGCCTTTACAAACAACTCCCATCCTTTGTAATATTTATTAGGCAATTGATTTTTAAGAAATGGTAGTGAATTATTGTAATCCAAGAGGACCATTTCTCTGCTTTATAGCCACGGTAATGCAGAACAATGTTTCACAATGGTCGACCCAAACTTGATGGAATGTTTTTTCGTACTAAATGCATCTTGTTTCCAATTTTGTTCCATGTTTCTTTGTTTAAAACATATTCACCATTATTTTGGTCTTGATCAGTAAAAAAAGAACCCATCCAATGAGCCAGCATATAACCAGCAATGTTCTCATAAAATAAGTGCATAATATCCACAGGGAATGTATTTGGAAAGTTGGTAGTATTGAGATTAAATAATATACTTTGTTTGCGAATACCATAACGTTTTATTGCTTGATTTTTTTCTAATTGTGTTTGTGCTTTTTGAATTTTTTTTATTTGTCTTTGAATTCATAATGAGTTCTAATTTGATAGATTTTCAGGATCATAAGTTTCACTATCCTGATCACTGGGTGGTTTGGTAAGATAATATATATGCGAAGAATAAATGCCTTTAATATTGCAATAGCGGCATCCTCTATATAAATTATGCCCTGTAAGACATATTAATTTTGTAAGTGCAGGTGTGTTACCAGACCAAGATAGTACACAACCACGTAATATGAATGTATCTTCATGTTGAGCACTAGGACACACTACTTCTTCTTCTAATCTTTGTAGTTCATCAATAGCAAGAAATAATAAAGAATTTAGATCTTTTAGTTCTTTTGGACCCGGTATAATTGTGGAGATCAAAAAATTTTTTTTTTTTACACGTATTTTAGGAGATAAATTTGCATTTATAAATAGCAGAATCCAGCAGTCATCTGTCCTCTGTTTAAAAATTTGAAACCCATCAATCGACTAATAATGCAACATCATACTTTTCTTTAAAATATTCTCTTTGTACTAGTTCTTTATATCGTTGGCCATCAAACACATCTCCAATTTTTTCATTACGTTGATATTCTGGCCTTGATACATATTCTGAATGATAAAGTAGATTTTTTGTTTGTTCTGCACACAGGTTTAAATGGAATTAATGATTATAGTTTTTTTTTTAATTAAATATAAGCTTATTGGTTTTGTAACTACAGCCTTCATGATTTCAAAAAAGGCTTCATCAGTAAGATTATTTTGCACTTTAATTTTCAGAAGTCGAATCATAGTAGCAAGTTCAGGAGATATAAAGGGTATATTTTCTAATATTTAATTATATGTAAATAAATAAAGTTGCTATAA